TCGTGGGCTCAAATCGAACGTTCAAAAGTAGGCAGCCACCTTAACAGACAAAAAAGAGTGAAAAATAAAGATTGCTTGCTATTGGAGCTTTTTATCACATACGTGAAATGGTCGTGCAAAAATATTAACCAATAATAAAGAGAAAGGCGTTTCGATAATAAAATTCCATTGGACTGCACGTTTTGAATGACAGCTATAAAAAGCGCGAAAATTAGACTGATTCTACTGGTTTGTACACGTTGCATACGCACGTGGAGTGGTATTAGCCAATCACAACGCATATTATTTTCAACGAAGTCTTACCTCATTGGCTGGAATTGTTTGATTGACGGTTGATTCATGTGGAATGCAGTATTAGTTTTCGGGTGTGTGGGGCTTGACTTCATAATCAAGTTGACGTGTAGAAAGTCAGGTATGTACCACTCTGTTGCTGCAAAAATTATCTTAAAGTTAACCTTTTTCTTTTTAATTTTTCCAATTTTGGCCTTTCAAATGTGTAGTTTTACGCAGGATATTCCTAGCCACAAGATATAAACGTTATTTTTCTTGCTTTTTCGGATGTAAAACGCTTTCTATCTTTCAAAGAAACACTAGTTGATAACAGCTGATAAATACTGTGAAGCGGGAAATACAAATTATTTGGAAACGTTCTTTACTTTTAACAAAGCCAACACTTGCCGAGTTGAGCGAATTCCTGGTTTTTCAATGTTTTTCAGCTGCAGAATTGTCACAATTTTTGCTTTTAGAAGAAAGTTTTCATTCATAGTCGAACGCACTGTACTCAGCTGATAATTACTTGGAAGCGGGAAATACAAATTATTTGGAAACTTTCTTTACTTCGTAACAAAAAAACTTGCCGAGTTTAGCAATTCCTGTCGTTTTTAAAATGTTTTTCAGCAGAGTTTTCACAATTTTTGCTTTTAGAAGAAAATTTTCATTCAAGTTATCAAACGCACTGAATAAGTGCAAAGCGACCACGAGGCCAAAAGACCATATATTCTCTTGCTTTATACAAATTTTTCTTCAATTTTCATGAGTTATATTTTATTTTGCGTAAACTTTTAATCTGATATTTGTAACTTTTGAACTTTTAAAGTTTATTTAATCTGGTTTTTGATACTTTTTTCGTTCGAAAATAGGCGTTTTGGTTTCGCGCGCTTTTTTAGTCAGGACTGTGACTTGTATTCTCGTTTGAATAGTCGGACTCTCTATTGTTCTTTCGATAAAATCATTCATTTTGAGTTACTAGACTTACAATTTTTAACTTTTATTTGAAGTTTTGTAAAGATTTCCCAAATTTTAAACAAATTTCTGACATTATCATTTTGGCGCGCTTTTCATCTTGACGAAAGTTGTCGATGAGACTTTTCAATGCTCTTGTTTGTCAATATTCTTTCTTACAGTTATGCAAAGAAAAGTATTTTTCTACCAAATACTGACACTTTTTTACATTTTCCAGATTATTAATCATTATTGGAAGTGGTTATATAAAGTACTAGAAGCAAGAAGAAGACTACTGCGTATCGTAAGACTGAGTTGATGGTGGAAGATCATGAACAAGTTGAAAGAAAATTTAATTTCTTCTCTTGTGTTTCGTTTTGGCTGGCTCGACCTTGTTCTTGATCTTCTTCTTCTTATTGTTGCATTGCAATTAGATGGAAAGAGGTGGAGAGAGGCAGTTCCTAATCAAAAAGGAACTCAGTTGTTCTGTATTGAACTCACTAGGCTAGGGTTTTGATTTGCAGACATTCATGAAAAAAATATATACACTTCTTGAACGTAAAATTTGGTTCAATTGCTGCAAGTCGAAATATATTCTGCAATGCTTTTTTTGTCGATCTAGAAAGTTATTAGGCTAGCCGTAAGAGGGGACCAGATGTAAGGCTGGTCCCAGGGATTATTTGTTTGACAAGAAGCTACCACTATCTTAAAACTAGGTGGGGTATGGCGGATTATTAGTGTTTTTGACTGGTCATCTCGACCAGGAGGGTCAATTGGCCAGTATCAGGTTAGCTTTTCAAATGAATTTTCGTCACCGAGTTCGCTTCTCTGGACGTCAATGAAGACACAGGATCTACACATATAAGGTGTGAACTTTAGTTAACTGGAGTTCAGGCTTACTTGAGTAACGCTGGCCGGTGTACATATCACTCACTCCCTTCACACAGCGCTTAGGGTTAGGTGCTTTCTATTGAGATTAGACTGGCCAGTTGCGTGCTCTCGTAAGACTAGGTAAAGTCAGGATCACCCGCCGTCGGATCATTTTCCTCGCTCCTCCCCTCGGTTGATGGTTTTGATGAAATTCTGACTTGCTGCTCCAGTATAGTCTTGCTTTCCAGTCGTGGTTCAAGTCTACCAAGAACAGCCAAACTCGGCTGCCTCTGAGAGGGAAGACAAGTCTGCGATAGATTTTTGTTTTATCATGCACCAGGCATGCCAGTGGTAGCTTCTTTAGGATAGAATTTTGTACTGAAATATAGAACATTTTATGATTATGTTTATGCATTATTTTTTTGTATGGTTCTTGTTATTTCTATAGGTTATGACTATGTTATAGTTTATTAATTAGCCTTAATGCTAACTTTTCGATTGAAGATTGTAGATTTGTTTCGGATTTCGACCATTTTTTTTACTCTGATAGCATGTGGTAGTTCATCATACTCTTTCATTTCTCTTCGATCATTTCGATACTTCTCTTTCAAATCGTTTTTGACGGTTTTATAGATTTTGTCTTAGCTTTTTATTGTATCACATAATAGAGTAATTACGATAGAAATATATTCGATGGTTTGAGTCTTGGATATTCCAGCTCTCTTTGAAGTATTCATAACTTCCTTGAGAATCCTGGAATATCCCTCCTTTTCTAAGTTAACTCTCATTCGATAGCATGATATAATAATAGTTTAAGGGTGTGGTTCCTGGATATTCCAGCTCTCTCTGAAGTATTCATAACTTCCTTGAGAATCCTGGAATATCCTCCCTTTTCATGATGCACACACGACAATCAAATACTTTTTTGAAGATGGGCGGGGCCTTAGATAGTTCTTTCTTCAGGAATGATCCATCCCTTGTACAAAAAACGTCTAGATCTTTTCGGTTTTTCAACAAACGCCTCAACTCTTTTTGGTTTTTCAACGAACACCTCAAGCTTTTTGGTTTTTCAACGAACGCCTCAAGCTTTTTGGTTTTTCAACGAACGCCTCAAGCTTTTTGGTTTTTCAACGAACGCCTCAAGCTTTTTGGTTTTTCAACAAGCAAGCTTTTTGGTTTTTCAACAAACAAGCTTTTTGGTTTTTCAACAAACAAGCTTTTTGGTTTTTCAACAAACAAGCTTTTTGGTTTTTCAACAANTTTTTGGTTTTTCAACAAACAAGCTTTTTGGTTTTTCAACAAACAAGCTTTTTGGTTTTTCAACAAACAAGCTTTTTGGTTTTTCAACAAACAAGATTTTTGGTTTTTCAACGAACGCCTCAAGCTTTTTGGTTTTTCGACGAACGCCTCCAAGTTCTTCTGTTTTTCAACATCTTCCAAGATTCCGTACGTGGTTCC